AGTCTTATACATGATGTTGCTTAAATACACATTAGATACACAATTGTAGATATACAATTTCCAGGGTCATCATGTTATTAATGTGATAGTTTTACTACACAACTGTCTTGAGGGTAACAAAATCCAATATATACTTGCTTTATAAAAACATGTGCGAAATGTGTTGGAATAGTACTGTGATTCAGACCAAGCTATAGCTCCATTGACAATTTATAGTCAGTCTTAATGACTAAAGTCCAAGAAAGATAGATATAAAAGCAATCGTTCTCTTTGCGCAGAGATTATTATTTGATCAGAGTTGGTTCCCCCAGGGGTTTTTAAAGTAAATATATTGTGTAATTCCTCCCTCCATGGTACTTAGCACTCCCTGCTGACATTTCTACAAATTGCACATCTTTGGATGATCGTTTCCACTCAGAGAAGCCCAATGTTAATGTGGTAGAAGGGATTTTAAAATAATATGGGGCCACAGTATTAAAAACATTTGTTACATTTTGCTCATGAGAGACCACACTCTGGGACAAGCAATAAGGTAAGAGTCAGTAAAGACTTTGCACTTATTTTATGGAAAATACAATTAGTGTATGGGACGGGCACAAAACTGGAATATTGGCTTTTGAATGTAGTTCATTACTATAATGTATAAATTTAAAGCAATTTTCCTTCTTATTCTTTTGCAGATTTTTAAACTGTTCAAGATATTTACTAAATGCTAACAAAGTGAGAAATAAAACAAGGCCTTAAAATAGCAATGGGAGTAAAGTTTTCATACTGTATCTTAGGTTTTACGAAGAAGCATTTCTTGTCACAGTAGACACAGACTTATTTTCAACTATGCATGAAACTGTCCCCCCCATGAAACTTTTAAACTGTCCCCATTTTTGTTATGATAAATGCATTCTTTTTTTTACTTTATACAATTTATCATATAGTGGTTCAAAATGGAGCTGAGTTTTTACAATCATCTGAGGCACTGTAGTCAAACTGTGTACAACCTTTCCAGAGCTTGCTTTATAGCTAATTTAAAGTTAAATACTTTTCTCATCCAATTCTCTCGCTACTTTTTCCTCTGAATTCTATTAGTAGTTTTACTGCAGGTCTGGAATTTGTTACTTCGGGCTTTTGAAGTCTCAACATGGGGTAAATTTGTTTGAAAAGAGCTAAGCTCATAAGTGTCATAAGTATGGTAGATAAAATGATATAAATAATGAGAATTTATTTGTTATTTGTGTAATTAGGTCTTTTGTCTACTCACCTTTTGAAACTGTTCAGAAGGCATTTTTAGAGATATAGGGGATACTATCTCCCTAAAGGATTTTCTTTAAATTAGTGGGGGGTGAAAAGATAACTGTTAATAAGAAGAAAAGCCAGAATAATGATTTATTGTTATTAGAACCCTGCAAGCCCAGTGGAACTGGAATACATTAAATACATGAGAGAGCATGTCAACAACTAGTTCAGGCTCTGTTATTGTTTCTTAATTTCAGCTTTTCCCCTTCGGAATACCAACTGGCAGTCAAGTGAGAAATCCCAGTTTGGTTCACCTCTTTCTCTCCCATCTTCATCACTCTGTTTCTCCTTGTTTTCAAACATGTGTTTCAAGGAGGCCCTTTGCTGTGTACCATTACTGCCCTTAAAATAATTACGACCTGATATGTTTATTTAAGCACTGAACCTGCCAGCAGTTCTTAGGTATTGAACCTTAAATTTTTTTCACCAAAGAAACTGTTCAGATCAGATCAGGATCTGGGAAGGGTTTAGTCACCAGGGGGGACTGGGATTAAACAGAAACACTTCGTTTGGATTTATGAATGGGTTATCTGAGTTATGTAGTGCTTTCTGCACTGCATGTTTGTTGCTCAATTGCAAAGTGTTTTTATAATGTAGTGTTTGACTTACAGTAAAGGCTCACTGGGACTCGGGAGTTCACTGTAGTTGAAATGCAATCCTGCAGAGCCTACATTTCATTTGGGTTCTGTTGGTGTTTGTTTTTTAATCTAGAAAGCCTTGATAGAAAAAATGAATGGCTTTTTTTAGTGAAGTGAACAGCATGTCATGTTTTTCCTCCCTGCATTATCCCAGGCCTGCTCACTTTATTAATTTGATGTGTTGAAAAGGGTAAAGTTCATAAACTGAGCGAGGGTGTGGCAGTGTATTTTTTACTCATTCTCTATTGTCCTTGGATAAGTCTGCTGTCTCCCTGCTCTTTGGCAGTGGTGTTTTGTTGTAATAAAAACCTTGGGAAAGAATTAGCAACCAATTTAAAACAAACTTTTTCTTATTTCACTGCCTGATAGCAGCAAGCATTATTTGAGATCAAGGTAATGGTCAAAAAGTGATATGTATGATGTGTAAGTACAAACCCCCATAAAGCATTAATATTAACTTATTTCTGACTACAGTATAGAGGGTTGAAGTGACATTAGAACTGTTGCCTTACATCAGTAGATTGAATTGCCTTTTACTTTTTTTTTATTTTGAGGAAACATGGTGTGGAATCTAGCACAGGTGTGATTTCTCTTTGTGATTCTGCAATCGGTTCTGTAATTCAAGGAGAACAACACTGGCAGCTTAAGTGTAGACACATCTAAATTAATTCTTACATTTGTTCGTGAGTTACTAGATGATCCTAATCTTGATCAAACAAAAATAAACAGTGGTTCAAAAGAAAACTCGTGGCTTTAATCCTTGGGGAAAAAGAAATGAATAGTATGTGTCTCAAAATTGAGACCTTGTGGTAAAAGAAAGGAATATGTCTGAATGTTTTGAATGAAGAAATATTTGTTGACATGGAGTTGGCCCCTGATTCCTGGTCTTTCGAGTGTCTTCAGCTGTCTTGAGAGGTGGCTCAGGCAGGAGTACAGTATATGTCAAGACTTGTCCAAGGTCACTTGGTAAATTAGTGGCTGATCCTGGAATTAAACCCAGTATTTCTTGGCTCTAAATTCTTGGCTGTGAGTGCAGGGTTATGCATACATAAAGTATGAGAAAAAAACAGCTTTGGATTATGTTCAGCCATTTGCATTCTAAAGCATCCTAACTTATTTTTACATTTTATGTACTGAACTCTATAAAATTTAATAAAAGTACCGTGAATTTTATCATGAAATCTTTCTGTAAAAAAAATCTTTCTATGTTTTCTTACCACCATTTTTGTGGAATACATTTTAAGTTAAGATAAGCCACAACCATGCTCGCATCTTTTTGACTATTCCATGCACAGTGTGCTTTTCAGTACGATTGCAGTTACTACTGTAACCTAAAGGTGAATGTACAGTTCCCTTTAATAACAAAAGATGGCTCATTATAGTCAGGCATAACAATTTATAGATTAATTTTCCAGCATACAGTTTTTAATTAATTGTACAGGCAGTCTTAAACACAGAGTACACAAACTGCCTGTGGTCTTCATAATTAATTTTAATGAAAGAAATTAAAAATTGGTGGGGTGTATTTAGATTGTTCTGCGGCACTGGTGTGGTTTCAAGCCCACTGGAGTGCTGCTATCACCAGGTTTTAGTTTTATTTTTGTACTTTTGACTTGCTACAAACACATTTCAGACACCACTTAGAACGTTATGTCCAATTCACAACATTAATTAACTCTACCTTTATTTGAAATATTAGATCCAAGCCTTAATAATCTGACAGTGTAGAGTTCTGTTTCTGTTTATGTTGACCTTTGCTTCTGGAAAGTCTGAGTGGTAAGAGATCTTCTGTGAGATTGACTTTCATTTTAAGAGGTGCTACATTTTCTAACATCTTCTAAGCATTAATCATAAAAGCCATGAATTCATTTCAAATACTGTAGATTAACCCACCATTGCTATTACAATTAGTAATTTGTGTATACAATAGAAATGCTAGAATGCTGTACTCTTAAAATTTATTCAGATCATAGAAAACACTTTGTCTTGAGTCTTTGTTCGGAATAGTTTTTTCTGCAGTTTTGACCCTTTGGAGCTTATTATCCCTAGAAAAGTAAATGTTTTTTAATAAAAAAGGAAAGAAAAAACATGGATTGGTACGACTTGGACTTTAGCCCGGATCCTATGATATGGCAGTCCATTAAGAGTTTCTAATCAACTTCTCCACCACAACCTTCACACTAACATAGCCAAGTATTCTTTCAAGGATTATGAGTATTCAAGACACATTTGTTTTGGCACATGGTCAGCTGTGTTCAATATCTACCTGCTGTATTTTACCCACTAGGGATTATAAGTGGAAAGCAAAGAAGCACGTCTGTAATTACTGAAGTCATATGAACTCATTGTCCTTTAATTTAACATCTTTGTGGAAGGAAAGAACAAATCTCAGATAGCAGATTATTATATTTATTTAATCATGTTTCAAGGCCCAATGCCCTTTAAAGATTCATTTTAGCGTAGGCGATAGCCCTTCAATTACTTGTTACTTAGCTTTGGTTACCTGATGTTCTAAGGGCCTGCTGGTGTTAGTCTTCAGCTTTATACTGTCAGCATCCGACTGGAAATAAAACAACCTATCTTCATCTTCAGAGATGGCAGATGGTGCTGTCACGTTAGTCAAAGATTCGAGGCTCTGTCAGCTTAACCAAGAAAGCAGCATAAAGCTACCTGGGAATTCAATATCACAATCTCACTTACTGAAATACATTTAGGCTTTTTTTTTCCATCATCCATGCACCATACAGTATATGGTGGCACAACATGGGTGGACTTAATAGGAAAGAAATACGAAAAAAAAACAAAACAATTAAAAGGTCTGTATTTTGTGATTATTCCCACACTTAACACAAGTGTACATTTTAACAGATGACAGCCAAGGTTAAAGTCATAAGCACTATTTCAGATGTTATATACAGTACATACTGAGGATTTAGAAATGCAACAAATACTATTGTTATACTACTAATGTATTTAATGCCTCTCAGTCTGGTTTTACATTGGCAAACTGAACAGTTCTTCTGCTATCCTAGAGTACTTGTGAGTGAGGATGTTTCTTGTGATTTTTTCTAGGCCGCTGCACATTCTGATCTGCAATGCTGCTGTGTTTGCTCAGCCCTATAAGCTGACAGAAGATGGCCTAGAGTCAACCTTCCAGATCTGTCACCTGGGACACTTCTACTTGGTTCAGGGCCTCCAGGAAGTGCTCCGCCGCTCTGTTCCTGCCAGAGTGATTGTGGTATCCTCAGAGTCCCACAGGTCAGATGGCTTCATGGGCTGCTGTATAAAAAAAAGAACTTGTGAAAGAAAGATTTCCTTTTTAAAAATGAAGTCCATATTGTGCAAACACAGGATCTAGCTAACGAATGATAAAGGCAGGAAAACAAATAATAAAATCATGTTCCGCATGAAGATTGTTTATAGAAAGGAAGACAAATAACATGCTTTACCGAAGAACCCCTAAGAAATGTTTCATATTGTAACTTATAGTGTCTTATGTCACCTCTTAAAAAAACACTAAACTTCTTTCTGCACTACAGTGGTCATTCTGAAGAATGACTCTACTCCTGTCATTCCCCACATTCCAGGCTGGACATTTTGGAAGAGAGGAATTGATTTTGGCTGGGGATGGAATAAAGATTGATTAAATCAGAATGAAACGACCTCAATAGATTTGCCATGCAGTAACCCCCAATGCTTTGCCAAGAACGTACTTGGAGTTATTCTAGCAGAAGAAGCAATGCAATTAAAGTCTTGCTCGATGAATTCCAACTGCTGCACACAGAGGAAGCTGGATATATATTGCAGATATTACAGATATAATCACAGGAGTGTGGCTACTACAATCAGGGCAAAGAGGTGATTGGCACAGTATATTTGTGTTCTATAAAAATGTTCTCCCTGATACCTAATGACTTTAACATCTGAAGCTAAATGCAAAACCTTTAGGTAAATAATATACAGTACTGTACACCTTATTAGTAATTAAGTGTTAAAAATGTTCACTTGTAATTGTTTTTTAGAATGAAGCACTGCAATGCTCAATTGCTCTTTGCTTCTGAGATTTATACTAGACTATCACATGAATTCATTTTTTTATTTTGAATTTGAAAATATTCACATTGCCGTATACACAATCAGTTAAAAATGGATTTAGATATCCACTTCATTATTTATGCAGGTGAGCCTGATCATTGTATTAAAGTGAAGAACTTTGCTTTAACAGTGCATGAAGGGGTTTTGAGACACATCTCTGAGACACATCAGATTCTCTGAGTTTAGGAACGAAGCGGGGGATGAAATCTGCTTTCCCAGATCCACTGGTGCCCTGCGGCTGTGCTCCAGCACTGGGTCAGGAAGCCTTGACACAAGCCAACTGCAGGAGATCCTGGGGTCACTTTAGTCTCTGTATTCCACAAGAAACTGCCGTGCGGCCAGAACATTCCGCAAAGGCAGGATTAGAGATTAAGCGGGAGAAATTAAACAGGCACTGTGCTATGGGTTTAACTTTCTAAGAAAGGTGAAAAAACTATTAATATATAATATTATGGCTTCCATGACTCATACTTTATTTCAGGCTTATATTTTCCCGAATTGGACTGATTGAAGTCATTGAGGTTTTTTTTTCTACTTATTTTATTTCATTTGGAAAAGCTAAGATGCTGACATTTGACCTGAAGTGAAGATTATTTTTCTAAGCCCCTTGCCATTATATAATACCTTGACCCTCAGGGACAGGTGAGTGTCAGTGAGGCTATGAGAGAATAGAGAGAAACACCAACCATGGTTTCAAATGAAAACTTTATCACTTCCAAACAGCAGGGCTTACACTGTAACTGACACAATGCAGATAGATTTTTTTTTCCTTGTTACATTAATACCAGCTAAAATGAAAGGAAAAAGCCGTAAACCATTGGTCAGGGGCAAATAAAAATTGCTCCCTCCTCCATACTATTAACAGAAAAGAGAGTTATCTAGTAATTAAATTCTAAGTCAAATCTACACAAGCTTATCTTTATAGATTAAAATACAGTAGTAAAGTGAAAGGAAATGTTGCACAAACGCACTGCAACAAATTGGTGAAGTAAAATAGGAGCAAGTCTCATACATGTTCTCTTTTGCGATGTGAGATGCATCAGATTCAGAACGTATTAAACACAATATACCACTATAGCAACAAGCAAGTGCAGGTCAATCAATATTTAATTTGAGTATATTTGTCTATATTTATTGTATGTGTGACATACACATACATTATACAGATATTTATGGATGATACAGTATGTTAAGACTAACGCATGAAATAAGCAATGTAAAACAGGTCAAAGTCAGATACTGCATTTAGAAAATAACAATACATTTAAAAAGAAATTAATTTTGTGAGTTTACATCTGTATCCATATAAATAAGTCCAAAAAATATGTGAGCTATTATTTTAAATAGTGGCTACACCCTGCTATTTGAGAAAGAATGCCCCCATACTCTGTAACAGGCATATCAGACTGCAAATGTGTAAGATACACATTCTTTCTTCATAGTGTTGGTATTGAAGCAAATACCTAAAATCTTAATGGAACTAAGCTTGATCTTAGTTATTGTTAGGTCTAATCCAAGTAAGCCTGGAAAGTAAGATGGCATTTTGTCTCTCAATTTTTTATAATTAAAAACATACTGTGTGGTGTGACTGGAGTATCTATTGCACTGAATACGGCTCTAAAAAACAGACCCTCTCAGGAATATCATTGCCTTTTGTGTTTTTGAAGATTGAGGTGTGACATTGTGACTCTGTGGTAACAAAAGTTGTATAATTATGATGTGTTGTTTGTGGAAAATGTCAAACATCTGGCATTTAACAGCTCCGTCAGAGACAATTAAATAATATCATGTTGGGTCTTTGATTCGTGTTCAACCATGACATTAGTATACTGTGAAAACATTGCAGTCTGCCAAAGATCATTTCAACTCTGTTTACATTCATGTGTTTCAAGTTTGGAGTTCTTGCTTCTTTTGGAAACTCAGTCTAATGATTTAGAGCAGTCTCCCATGGGAGATACTAAAGATCATAATGGCATCTAAAAGAAACCGGTACTGGCAGTCGCAGGTTCTTGTGGCATGCTTTGTACTTGCAGTGTGTCCTATGTCATTTTTTTTTAAATAAAAGAAACAGAGGAACCTGATGTGTTGAGGAAAGAGTACATAGGACTTTTAGTCTTTACTAACAGTTTTGTGCTGGTTGTAAATGTTTTTGTACATATTAGACGTGTTTAATAGCTGCCTTATAAGCTATTAATTATTATTTAAGTACTGTAGCTTATAGAAAAAAGAGATTTTCCATTGACTTATTAGGTTAAAATGACTTTTGGTTAAAAGTACCCTTATTATATTTTGAAAAGCTATACAACTTTATTATATTTTTCCTTAGATATATCTTTTTATTAGATGCTAAAAATGTATGCAGAGGTAATATGGAAGATCACCAGCTATTTTCAGATTACCTGTATTCTCTCTAGATGATTTGTATTCTCAATAAATTCCAGATACACAGATCTGGTAGATTCCAGTGGAAAGATGGATCTTGCCCTGCTGTCTCCTTCCAAGAAAGAGTACTGGTCCATACTGGCCTACAACCGTGCCAAACTCTGCAATATCCTGTTTTCGAACGAACTCCACCGCCGGCTGTCTCCTCATGGCATCACCTCCAATGCAGTGCATCCTGGGAACATGATGTATACCTCACTTCACCGCAGCTGGTGGCTGATGACCTTGCTGTTTACTTTTGCTCGCCCCTTTACAAAATCCTTGGTAAGTAAATGGGTGTTTACTCCACTCTTCTAAATAACTGCTGCGATGATACGTTTAACAGCAGTTTTCATTAATTGCTGCTGGCTGTCAAAATTAATCTGGTTTCTTAAAATCTGATCCATAGCTGATGTTGCAAATGGTCTTCAGTCTTTCAGAGTCTTCATATCTACAGTATTTAACTACAATAGAACAGCTAAATGAGATTATTTCCTTTATGCCTTTTTAACCTTATTTGTATGCTTCTAGAGGATGGATTAGTACTATGCATTTATAACCTGAAAGTATGCTTGCATCGTTCATTTATTTCAAAATTAGCTTGGGTTTTTGAGGAGCGAATTGCAGATATTATTTAGTGTTATGTGTCTAACCTACAGTAAATGTATGGAATTGTTTATATAACTGTAGACATGATTGTGTTTAGGTGGAAATAGAATGATAAAGTACTTCTTATTGATAGACTGTGGTTTGAGGAACCTAAAAAAGTTGAGTAGTAGAGTAGTCAATGTACCTATGGGATAAAATAGTACTGTATGTGGTATAACTTTAGATACTAGCATTGTTGCAAAAGTATATTGTGTTTGCTTAAGTGGTGCTATGATTATTTATAACAACAAAGCCTGAAAGACTGCTATGCTTTGTTCAAACACATTGGTGCATAATCTTTATGGTTCAATGTCTTGCCCCATTCTTTATTTGCCCCCTTCTGTATTGATTGCCTGCTTTATTTAGAATCCATGGTTTTTTAAGGCAATTAAAATCAGAAAATGTGTTTTTTTTCATTAAGTCAATAAATCATCATGTGATTGTTTTGGACAGGAACAAGTTTACTTTGTTCTGTGTTACTTTTCATCTGTGTTCAAGTGTTAAGAGGTGTTGTCCTTTGCTTTATGCAAATGCTTTATCCTGGCTCCTAAGTAGAGAGTGTGAAGACATTTATGAGTTTAACAGCCCTCTCTCACATAATACAATTTTACCACTGTAAAATTGAAAACTTTATTAATGCTCTTTTATAAAGTGTGCAACATACGTATTGTTTTATTTTAATTTCAAATGTTCAGATCACATCAGTAGTGTCATTGCCCTTTCACCTTTTCCAGGACTTAACAACTTCATTGTTTGTCTTAAAGGGAGGCATTGTGAAGTCTAGAGGCCTGTTTTCATTGGTCAGCGAGTGGGTAAATGTTGATGTTCCATATAAAAAACGCATGGGGCCATATCAGGCTGTGCTGTGTTATCATGCTGCACTAGTACAATCCTTCATTCTGCAAAATATTGTTTTTGGCAGATATAGGAGCATGAAAGGAATATTATTTTGTAGAGTACTGAGGACTAAGCAGATGTCTCAGGGATACCTGTTTTTGCTTTCTTTACCCCTGTCCTTTTTTTTCTGAAAATTGTTGCACTGCTCAATAGGTCAGGTTTTGTAGAAGCCATGAGACTATTCGGTTACTCTTTCCGGATTCTCTGCTTTGCCAGCCACTGTGCTACAGCTTTTCACAGATGTATTTCTCCTTGACTTTTTCCATGGATTTGAATAAAGTACTACTCCTATTTCAGAGACATAAATTATCTGGAGACAAGCTGAATACTGTCCCAATGAACACCTTTATAATCTAGCACATAGCTCTTTAGACGAGCGCCCTCCAGAATGGAATGAAGCTATAGAGTGTCACACTGTGGGATTGATCTGAATGGTTCTTTAGATGTGCAATTATTTGTTATGATTGACAGTTTTGGACTTGCTCTTCACCAACAGCAGAGCAAACTTTGGCATATTGAACCGTGTTGTAGGGTTCTTGGGTATTAATGCAACCAGGCATTTAAACTACTGTGTGTTAGCCAGACCTTTGCATTAGAGGACGTCTAGCTTATACATTATATCTCACACTAAGAATCAACAGTAGTATTTCTCTTAGGAGGAGCCACTGACTTTCATGTGCTTTTGCCTGAAGTGACAAGCATGCAAACAGCTGAGCTATAAAAGTGAAATATTATAATTTATTAGAAGCCATGTACGGCAGCCTTTGCTATCAGGTTTGTATAACAAGCAGGTCCTTTGGGTCATATACACTCTTTAGTGAATGCTCTTGTAAGATTATCCAGTTTTGAGCACTTGCACTGAAGATAAAATAAGAACTGTTAATGTATCTTTATTTTCAATGCAATGCCAATGGAGTGTGAGAAGGGTTTTAAAATAGATGCAATTATAACCACATCTTTCTATTATAACCACATTCTTCATCACGGCAGACAATAACAGTGTATTAGCAGGGCTGCCAATCAAGGTCAGTGCTGGTGACAATTCTATTAATTGTTTGTAATAATGAATCAAAATTAACTTAGATTCATGTCACAAAAAGATAAAAATGTGCAATTGGTTTCTGTATCATTGTTATTGAACCTCTCCAGGGCCTCTTTAAAAGTTATATATTTTTTCCTACTTGCCTCTCAGCTCAGTTTTAGCAAAACACTGTGCTTTAGATTGCACTAAAGCAAAACAAACCTCATTGTTTCATGTGACTGATAACGTATCATGAGTGAAAGTTAAGTTTTTCTTCATACAGTTAGTAAATCCAGGAGGTGACTGCAGTGTAATCTGAATGGACAGCCAGAGTTCTATAATGGTGCAGGCTGGTGGGAGCAATGTGTACCTGCGTCTGTACTGTGCAGGTGTTTGTTTCTGGTTTTTCTTTGTGGTCCTGAGGGTTGTGTATAATTTGTCAGTCTGTTGCAGGAGAGTTTTTGCTATGAAATGAGATAAATGTTTTGATAATATAAAACTGAAAGAGGTAATATTTTAACATTAAAATCTCAGTGGTGTGTAAATGCAAATTTCAAATATCATGATGTTTCAGTGGTGTAATGTACATCTGGCCCTGAGGCTAAAGGAGACAAATACTCTTATTCTGGGTATACACTTCACAGAAAATAGATACTGTATATTGCAAGGAGACCCTAATTGAGTTAATGGGAGGCAGGTCTCAAATAATTTTATAGCAATTCCACTTTAAAGTTTACAGCTGCAGACATGCAGACTTGCAGGCTTGTGTTTCCTATGGAGAAAGACAAAGCAAATAAAATTAATGATGGACTAAGATCTTAACAAAACCTGTCAAAAAATATTTAACTTTTCTCTTTGCGCATCAAGTGGGAATCCCATTGTCTTTAATTTTACTGTCTGTCTAAACTGCAACAGTTTAATAAGGCACAGAGACAAAGGTTTCGCTTGTACTGTATGTCACAGATTCTTCTTTTCATGAAAGATGGAACTTCCAGACTGCAGTATAAAAAATCAATGACAGCAGTTTTATTATGCTAATGAATGCACATAGGTGCATTTCCATTTTTGTAGAGTATTTTGGTTTTGATTATTGCTTTTGAAATAAAAACTGTAAATTTATCAAAACTGTACATTTATGATCGGGAGACTTCGTTTTCTTGGTCAGTGCCTGATTTGATAGGCCATCGGATTATTCAAAAAAACAAGAACAAAACCTCTCTATGTCTCCTTTAGACTCTTACTGTCATCAATTTCAAGGTGTTTTTCAATGTCTGCCACCTTCATTCTTTCTGTGAATTTCTGCTCGGGGCGTCTCGATTTATTTAAACACCCTCTATTTCTGTAAAAACACTGCAGTACTTTAAACAGCCCAGCAACCAGCTCCACATCTTAACCCACCTTTAGTCATCTCTACCAATGCAGCTCACCGTTTTCTAAAGGAGGCCAAATTCATCCTGCAGAGCATGTAGTGTTTGTTCAGCTGGGGAGCTTATTTATTTGAGGTTTCAAGAAAAATCTCTTCAGATTTTCGAAAAAAGTAACTGGGTAAACATAAGAGCTGTTCAAGTAATAGGAAACTAGAGGGTCCGGACTTCTTGAAAAGTGTGGCCACAAGAGCTCTGAGGAGTCCAAAGAAAACAGTGTATCAAAACCCTGGAACTAGCACATATCTCTCCCCACTATTTCCAATGTTAAATTACAGCACAGCTCTTTTTTTCTCAGCTATAGAGTGCAGTGTGAGAAAATGAGCATAATCATGACCTCTCATTAATGCATGGGTATTTTTCTACTGTGATCTTTTTGTTCAGAAAACATCTATGTGTTGGTTTGAATATTCAAAGAAAGGTACCTGCAGCACAGCACAGGATGCTTAACTGACTGAATACAATACCTGTAAATCTTGACAGAGTTTTTGAATTAGCACTGACTGGGCTGAGGCTTTGCCAGACCCAATCCACACCTGCAAGCAATCCTAGATGAAAATTGTGCAGAAATGGTATTCAAACGATAGGCAAACAATCTTTTCTTTATAACACACCTAATGTCAGTCTTCTGAAGTGAGCTAGAATGAACGTTACTGTAAATCTTGACAATGTTATTTTACGTGTTTGAACTCATGGTGCCTATAATCACTTTCCTCAGCAGGGCTGGAAAGTATAGGGAATGTGCACGAGTTCTGCTTCAGCAGTCCACTCTTCAGTCTATACATGCATCTGTGCTGCTGCCCAGGTGTTCCCCATGCAAGTGTACAGTTTCCAACCAGTATCGGATCATTCATCATGCATTCTGTACTGCTGTACTTGAGATATAAAACACATACACAGACATAATTTAAAATTAATTAACACTTGTGTGTTGCACGGAATATAAAATGGCATTGCTATTAAAATGATCTGATGCTGCCTGGATCACAAGGTTGAACTGACAAGAGCTGCTTTAGGGAGTTCTGCCATGGATTGTCTTGAGGTTCAATGTGGCAAATGTGTGTCATGGAGAAGCACTACAGTAATAATGTGGTGTAATTCTGCCATTCTGTTTGAGTGCCATAAGCTTGGCTCTTGGCTCGTTCGTGACCTGTCTGACTGATGACAGCAAAAGTACAGGGGAATTGTGGAAGGTCTTTTCAGATTAAGAGGAGCCAAAAACCATGAAGTAGCACCATTAGATCAGTGGAAGAGAAACCTCAAACCAACTTCCATCTGAGCTTAGTACAGTAAGT